GGCGAGATGCCTGCCGTCTCGGCTATCTCGTTGCCAGTTGGTTTCATATTGCCTTTGCGTATCAGATCGAGGACCGCATTTACTATCTTGTCACGTGAGCGAGAGCTTTGTTGTTGTCGACCATCTGTAGTTGGTGAATTCATGACTAGAAAACTTCCCCCCAAGCGCCACTAATCTTTTCTTTGGCAACAATAGCGGGAACAGCGGGCTTTGCCGACGTGGAAAGCTGACTTCTTCTGTCGAGGGAGATGGCGGTTACAATATTATGACACACCAAAACAAATGTCAGTGTCGACGGTCATTTGTTTGAACCGAGAGATCCTATGACAGTTAAGGCTACGACACCTGAACCCTAACCAAATCTAGAAACAGGTGGCGATTTTAGCGCAACTTCAAGTGACCTCTTTGGATGGTTCGCTGTATTTCTGTGGTGTTTGTGCCACATCATTTTATAATGTCAGTATACACGACATAATATATTGACATAAAAACTAGCATTGTGTCTGCTAACAAACAGCCAGAAATCTGCGTATGGCATTTTGCTGCTGCGCCCGCGGGGGGGTGGCGACACGATACGCGGAGTTGGTGTGTTTTGAAGGGGGGATGCGCGTTATGTGCGATGTACTAAAGAAAGCTAGTCTTTCAGCAATTGCCGCTGCGACGGCTTTGTCAATGTGGGGAGGGGAGGCGAACGCGCTGGAGTATAATTTCGGCGGCGTTCAAGTCTTTTTAGACACGACAGTTTCGGCTGGTGTGTCCATGCGTGTTGCGGAACGCAACATGAGTTTTGTGGCCTCTGGGAACGGAGGTCCAACGTCCAATCCAACCATCCTGCGGGTGGCTGGTCCCGATGGGACAGTTGTGACACCATTGAGTGCCACGAATAATCTCACGTTGGGTGTTGGCGCGGATGCAGGGGACGCAGGCGCAGCACCAGGAAGTTCCAGGTTTAGCTACGCTGGGTCGATCAATGCAGATGATAGTCGTCTGAACTTTGACCGTGGAGATTTGACATCGGGTGTGGTCAAGATGACCAACGACATTCAGGCGAATTATGAGAATTATAAGTTCTTTGCCCGTGTGAGTTCGTTCTACGACGCTGTGCTCGACGATGACAGTTCATATGAACGATCAAACCTTATTGACGGCGGCAAGGTTGATGCCGCACGTGACATTGATCTTCTCGACTTTTATGTGTCCGGTGACTTCAATGTCGGCGACCTGCCGTTGAACGTGCGTTTGGGTAAACAGGTGGTGAACTGGGGAGAAGCAACTTTCATCCTCAATGGCATCAGCTCCTGGAACCCGTTTGACGTGAGTGCATTTCGGCGTCCAGGCTCAGAAGTCAAAGAAGGTCTGGTGCCGATCTGGGGTGCATACGCGTCTCTTGGTCTGCCCTACGACCTGTCACTCGAAGCTTTCTACCAGCTTGAGTGGGACCATGTGCAGCTTGACCGGCCGGGAACACCTTTCTCAGGCTCCGATACTATCCCAACAGGGTCTGATGGTAATGGTAATCTGGGCGGACGTGCCTGGGTAACCGGTGGGCGGTCCGGTGGTGGTTTCCTCAACCGGAACTGTTCAACACCAAATGCGTTGTCTACAGGATTTGATGCGGCGTATCTGGCTGCAGGTCAGACAAACTATGTTTGTGGTGCTGGTGGGACCTATGCTCAAATCGACTATGCGATAGACCTTCCTGTCGGCCAGTCTGAGTTCAACCGCCTGCTTCTACGTGGGGGCACCGCAGATGTTGGTCGCCTGGAAGACAGGGACGCGAAGGATAGTGGCCAGTATGGTGTGGCGCTTCGGTGGTATGCCGAAGATCTGAACTCCACTGAATTTGGCTTCTACTTCATGAACTACCATTCGCGTCTTCCGTTTGCGAGCCAGCGTCTTATACTTGGATCTGGTGCGGCCAACTCTGAAGTGCGGTCTTATCTGGCGTCCGAAGATAACAACTCCGGAACCGGTCGTGGGACGAACGCTGCGGGTTGTTTTGCGCCGGGTACTTTAAGCCCTGCATTGGCTGGGATTCCTGCCGGTCAGCCAGGTGCCATCACGGCGGCCCTTGATCCAACCAAACTCGTGACTCTTAATAGCCGGACCTACAACGATACGTTGGGCCTGAACGCGGTTGGTGAAGCCGTTGCGAATGGTGGTGGTAGTACGCACGCGTCTGCTGCTGCTTTGGGGCTTAACGCTCTTGTGGGTGGCGGCTTTGCTGTTGCTGATGGGAGCCTGCTGGAACTTGCAATTACCAATTGTCTTCTCGTGGGCGCGCAAACCAACGCGGCAACGGGCCTGTTGGTGGATGGGGCAGAAATTCTCATTCCGACAAACCCGAACGGGGCAAGAGAGAGTTTAAATCTCTTCTTTGAGTATCCAGAAGATATCAAGCTGTTCGGTGTATCGTTTAATACAACTCTTGGCGATTGGGGTGTTCAGGGCGAAGTGGCTTTCCGTCATGACCAGCCTCTGCAGCTCGATACAGACCAAATTACGATCGCCACATTGGGTGCATCGTGTACGCTGGACTTCCTTTTGGGTCCGGATGCGATGACCGCTCTTCAGGGTCAGCAGACTTTCTCGCAAACGTCTAGTTCATGTACGGATGCAGGGGCTAACTCCTCTACAGAGTTTAACGGGTTTACCCGTGAAGAGGTTGTGACCTTCGACATTGGGACAACGGCGACCTACACAAACTCCAATCCGTTGGTTGGAGCTCTGGGTGCCGACATTGGTATCCTTCTCACAGAACTGGGTGCAATGTATGTGCCGGATGCAGCAAGTGAAGGTGACTTCAGCCAATCAGTGCTGCAGAATGTTTGTACTTCTGGTACGGACCTGCCGCTGGGTTCCTTCCTGGGCCTCAGCCCACGTACTGGCTGTCGTCCTACAGAATTCGCCTACGGTTATGTTCTCGTGGGTGTTCTGCAGTACAACAATGCGTTCGGTACGCCGATCACAGTGAGCCCACGCATCGCGTGGCAGCATGATGTGAAGGGTAATTCTCCTGCACCACTCTCAAACTATCGTGAGGGTACGAAGTCTGTCAGCCTTGCGATTGACGGTTCTTACCAGAACACATGGCGCGGTGGCATCTCCTACACCAACATCTTCGGGAACGAAAAATACACGAAAGATGGCGACAAAGACTTTGTTTCCATCAATCTGAGCTACTCGTTCTAGGTGCAAGACTTCACTGTTGGGCCTCAGGAGACTGAGCAGTGGTTGATAATCTCAGCGATCGTAGAAGTGAATTCGTTGAGATTTGATCGTTGACTTTCTGGTTGTCGGCATCCCTCAAATGACGACATGCACAGTCAGCGGTGTTGGCGGTCCCGGCCTCATACCGGGACCGCCTTCTTGTTACAGCTGAAAACTTGCAATGGCTTTGTCGTAAACTTGTCGGTACAAATCACTTGTGAATGCAAACGCGATCAGATGACACAGATCAGCTGTCGCAATTGCCACTTGTCCCTACTAAAAACCTCATCCGGAATTGATGACGCGGGAATCGTGGCATGATTGGCCACGGTGATCAGGATTAATTTCATATTTATGCAATGGTCACGGCTGCTTCTTAGGTCTCGAGCGTCAATTGAGGCGGAGAATATGGTCTTGCGTCAGCAACTTTGCATCTTGCGCCGAAAGACGACCGTGAAGCCACGACTGACAGGCTGGGATCGATTGGTCGTTGTTATGCACTACTGGTTTTGCCCGACGATTCTGGCTTCAATTGTCATTGCGAAGCCTGAGACAGTGATTCGCTGGCACCGTACTGGCTTTCGGATGTTCTGGCGTTGGAAGTCCCGCAACATTGGTGGCCGTCCGAAGATTGATGTAGAGACCCGCCATCTAATTCGAAAGATCAGCTGTGAGAATCCGCTATGGGGCGCGCGCCGTATTACTGGAGAACTACTGAAGCTTGGCATTGATGTTTGCGAGACCACGGTAGCAAAGTACATAGTCAAAGCGTCAAAGCGAACCGGACAGCCCTGGAAGACGTTTTTGGACAATCATATGAACGGCATCGCCTCGAAGGACTTTGCGATCGTCCCGACCATCGGCTTCAAACGTCTCTATTGTCTCATCATTCTGGATCATAGTCGTAGGTGTATCGTATCATTTGGCGTCACCTTCCACGCCACATCAGAATGGGTAGCACGCCAGATCACTGAAGCGTTTCCGACTGATGAATTTCTTGGAGACACGGACTACGGCTAAATCTCTTTGGCAAACAGCTTCATGTTGGCCTGCAATGGTCAGAGACGAATATCGGAAGCAAACGTTGAAGGGGAGCGGTCGCCAGAAACTTATGACCCGGTGCGGCCCAGCGGAGCAGGCTAATAGCGCAGAGGCCGGAGCTTCTCTCCTTCTATATGGCCGGGCACTAGAGGTGTATTGAGACTGCCAAAGTGCGCGACTTCTTCTACGGCACACATCGTTGGTGCATCAATCTGTAGATGCAGGCGACCGATTGCACGTTCAATCAGGCCAGGTTGCCGCTAAGCTGTGTCCTACGCAGTTTTGCTGGTTGATTGGCTTATTTCAGATGTGGCTTGGTATCTGAAAGAACGACTAAAGCGATCAGGAATTGAACCACCTTACAGATCTGAGATGTTGGTACTTTTGTTGGTATCAATCGATTTTCGTGACGACACTATCATTCAAAATCATACGCTCACCTGTGAGGTTCCATGCTGCCCCTGTTTTTTGGTACCCGCTTGGTACCTTTTTTATTATCAGAAGTCGGCTAACTCTGACAATGTGTATAAGTTATTGAAATATAAGGGAAAAATGGCGCACCCGGCACGATTCGAACGTGCGACCTCTGCCTTCGGAGGGCAGCGCTCTATCCAGCTGAGCTACGGGTGCTCCGGTGCAAAGCGCTTTTCAGCACCAGTTCACGCGGCGGAACCTACCTCGTTCGCTAAGACATATCAATGGACCAGTTTCACGCCCCCATGCAGGTCTCTGAGGGGCTCTGGCTTCAGCTAATTGGATGCAATTCCGTCAAACAGCGCATCTATAATGGCGCGCTCTCGTGGTTCCCCTGACACCTCATCGTTGAGCGGGACGAGATTGCCGTCCAGGCGGAGCGAAACATAGCCGTGCACCATTGACCAGAGGGCAATCCCGGACGTCTCTGCGCTCCTTTGTTCCTTCTGATCGCCCTGCTCAAACAGATGGATCAGCGGTTCATAGAGAGCATCCATCTGGGCCAACAAGTCCGGATCATCGACTGCAAGACAATCTCGCCGCCAAAGCAGTCGGTAGCGATTGGGATGGTTGAGCCCGTAGGCGATGACGGTGTCAGCAAAGACTTTGAGCCTCTCCCGACGATCCTCAAGCCCCTGCTGAAGCCCATTTTGAATGGCAGACGTGAGCTGTTCGAAACTTCGTGTTGCGAGCGCTGTGAGAAGGTCCTTGCGGGTTTTGAAGTGATTGGCGGGCGCGGAATGGGCCACTCCAAGAGAGCGGGCCACGGCGCGGATGGTAACCCCATCGACGCCGTCCTGGTCCAGCAACTCAAACGCGGCATCTAACAGTGCATCTCTGAGGTTGCCGTGGTGGTAGGTGGATTTTTCCGTCATTGGGGAATTCTAGGATTCAATATTGACACAGTCCATATTGATGTTGCCGGAAAGGATAGTTCCATGATCGCTCGTCTGCTTGTGACCTTTGGGGCCCTGGTCTGGGGTCTCGGTGTCCCTTTTCTCGAAATAAACGATACCCATGTGTTCAATCCAGATTGGACCCCGCATGCTCTTATTCACGAGGTGTGGCAGCTCTTCACCAATACAGGCTTGGCGGGCCTGGTTGTTTGGTTGGTCTGGGTGAAGGATGAAGTAGTTCTGGGAGCCATCACGGGTTTGTTTATTACAGGCGGGTTTCTCTCAGCTTTTATCATTCGAGATACTTACGGTGGCTCCATGAAATACTTGGACGGGTCTGAAAAGACTGTCGCCGGCCTGAATCTTGGCGTCTTGGGGTTCTCCATCGTGGCCGGCGGTATGATCATCGCGATTTTGCTGGAGAAACGACGCGCCGCTTAATGACAGTCAGACCGATATTGCCTAAATTCACGGCTTGTACGCTTCTCTGTATCGGCACAGAGGAAGTGGTGGGTGTTGAGAAGGGTGATCGGTTTTGGCGAAGGCATTGCAGTTAAAACCACTAAACCTGTTCGTTGATCCAGCGATCAACCTGGTTGACCGGCGTTTGAAGGACCTCCTGGCCTATTGGAAAGACAAGTGCGCAGAGCGAGACATGCCGGCCCGTATAGACATCGCGCCGGGCGACCTGGTGACACATTTGCCACGGCTGGCTCTCCTGAACGTGACCACGGAGGAGGAGGACGGCCCGCAATTCAGTGTTCGTCTCTCCGGTACAGGGATTGATGATCTTTTAGGCTCTGATCACCGCGGCGCCGTGCTGGATGACCTGCTGCCATCGGGCTCCGCGAAACTCATATCGGCTGCGTTGGGGGCCCTGGTCGAACACAAGCGGCCCATGCGCTTTTTCGCTCAGGCGCGTTTACCTGGAAATCCGGCAGCCAGCGTTGAAGGGTTGGCATTGCCCTTGGGACTTGAGGGTGGGCCGGTCAACATGGTGCTCATTGAGACCGTATCAATCCGACAATCAGATATGCCTCAATTTCCCGATCTGGAATATCAAGCGTTTGCCGAGGTCGCTTCCTGAGGCGGCTCGCCGCGCTATTTGCCTGACGTGAGCTGCAAGAACACGTCTTCAAGTGCAGCTTCCTCTGTCGTCAGGTCAGCAATCTCAATGCCAGCTGCGGTGATGTCAGCGAGCAGGGCTGACATAGAATCTACGTCCGGATTGTAAACAAGCGCGAGCTCCCCATTGTCGCGAAGCACGGCGCCCCGGCTGGAAAGCGAGGCGGGCACTGCCGAGAGAGGGCTTGCCGGGCGAATAACGACGCGCTTTTCATCAATGCGTGCAAGCAGATCCGGTGTCGATTCGCACGCAACCACTTCCCCATGATTGATGATCGCGATCTGGTCGCACAGCGCCTGGGCTTCTTCCAGATAGTGGGTCGTCAAAACCACCGTTGTGCCACGGGCATGCAGCTCTTCAATATGCTCCCAAAGCTGGCGGCGTAATTCGATATCGACGCCCGCAGTTGGTTCATCAAGTACCAGAATGGGCGGGTTGTGGACCATGGCTTTGGCAACCAGCAGTCGCCGGCGCATGCCGCCGGAGAGGGTGCGGGCATAGGCATCAGCTTTGTCGTCCAATCCCATTGCCTGCAAAATTTCCATGGTGCGGCGCTCGGATTTAGGCACACCGTAAAGACCTGCCTGCAGCTCCATCGCCTCATAGGGCGTGAAGAACGGATCAATATTGAGTTCCTGTGGCACGATGCCGATAGAGGCGCGTGCCTGGCGCGGATTGACGTCCGTATCAAAGCCCCAGATGGTGGCGGAACCAGATGTCTTCATGACGAGGCCGGCTAGAATATTGATGAAGGTCGACTTGCCAGCGCCATTGGGCCCAAGTAGACCGAAAAACGATCCGCGCGGGATGGAGAGATTGAGACTTTTCAGCGCCTCTTTGGCCGGTTGGCCATTGGCTGCCTTGTAAACTTTGCGGAGATTGGTCGCCTCAATGGCCGCGGGTTGACTGCGGTTGGGGGCTGGTTCACGGGGAGCGGGCACTTCAGCAACCTCTGCATCATCTGTGATTCCCTGTGCCATCTTTTTCTCCCCGGTTCGGCCATTCTATGGGCCGCTGATCGTCGCCTTAGGTGTTCTACACCCTTCCGCGTTGGCGGCCATAATGCCATATTGCCGGTCTTAACGGTGAAGAACCGTGAAGAGCAACAAGGCGGGTGGTATGGCGGCTAAGAAGAAGCAAAAAGAAGCACCGGCTGATGCCGGAAAGATGGGGACAGAAAAGCCACTCGGCAAGGGGGACCACCTCTTTCTGGTTGATGGGTCGGGCTATATTTTCCGGGCCTATCATGCGTTGCCGCCGTTGACCCGTAAGTCTGATGGGCTACCGGTGGGCGCCGTCCATGGCTTTTGCAACATGCTCTATAAGCTCATCGAGGACACAAAAGACGAGTTCGAGCCGACCCACCTTGCTGTTATTTTCGATGCGTCCGGCAAAACGTTCCGGAACGACATCTATGGGGAGTATAAGGCCCACCGTCCTCCCGCGCCCGAAGACCTGGTTCCCCAATTTGGGTTGATCAGAGACGCTGTCCGCGCCTTTTCTGTGCCTTCCATTGAGATGATGGGGTATGAGGCCGATGATTTGATTGCGACCTATGCCGCTAAAGCCCGCGACGCTGGTGCACGTGTCACCATCGTGTCCTCCGACAAGGACCTGATGCAAATGGTTGGCGGCAATGTCGATATGCTTGACACAATGAAGTACCGCACCATTGGCCCCGCAGAAGTGGAAGAAAAATTCGGGGTCGGGCCCGACAAAGTGATTGACGTGCAGGCGCTTGCTGGCGACAGCGCCGACAATGTTCCGGGCGTGCCTGGCATTGGCGTCAAGACCGCCGCCTTGCTGATCAATGAATATGGAGATGTGGAAACACTTCTGGAGCGCGCAGAAGAAATCAAACAGCCCAAGCGTCGGCAGAACCTGATTGAGTTTGCTGATCAGGCGCGCATCTCGCGCCAGCTGGTGACGCTTGCCCAGGACGTACCCATCGAAGAGGGAATGGAGACCTTCGGCCTTCGGGATCCAGATCCGACAACGTTGATCGGTTTCTTCAAGGATATGGAATTCAACACGCTCACCCGCAGGGTCGCTGAGCGGTTTGATGTGGACGGAGATGCAATCGAAGCGACCGGCGCTTACGATAACGGGGAAGCTCCCGCGCCAAAAAAATCAACAGGCTCCGCACCGAAAGAATCCAAAAAAGGCGGCACACCAGGGATCGTTGAAACGGGGCTCGATAAGGACCTGGGTAAGCTCACCTACGAGACGGTCACGACGCTCGACGCCCTTCAGCCCTGGATCGACGCCGCATTTGATCAAGGCGAAATTGCCGTCGACACGGAAACAGACTCGCTCGATGCCATGCAGGCGCGCCTCGTTGGCGTGTGTCTGGCGACCGAGCCAGGCAAAGCCTGTTACGTGCCGCTGCAGCATGGCTCTGGCGAAGGGTTGGACTTTGGTGACGGAGCCCCAGACCAGATCCCTTTAAAAGAGGCACTGGCAGCACTGAAACCGATGCTGGAAGCACCGTCTGTGCGTAAGATCGGGCAGAACATCAAATATGATCTTCTGGTTCTGAAGAATCACGGCATCAATCTCGCGCCCATCGATGACACGATGCTCTTGTCCTATGCGCTTGATGCGGGCCGCAACGGCCACGGCATGGATGAGCTCTCGGAGATTCATCTCGGCCACAAGCCCATTCCCTTTAAAGAAGTAGCTGGCACCGGCAAAAAGCAGATCACTTTTGATCAAGTGCCCATCGACAAAGCGACTGCCTATGCAGCAGAAGACGCTGATATCACCTGGCGCCTTTACAAACTGCTGAAACCGCGCCTTGTCCCGGAAGCAAAGACCACTCTCTATGAAACACTCGAGCGGCCTCTGGTTCCAGTTCTCACAGAGATGGAGGCGCACGGCATTAAGGTTGATCGTGCGGTCCTCTCCAGGCTTTCTGGTGAGTTCGCGCAGAAGATGGGGGCGATCGAAGCAGAAGTTTATGAGCTCGCTGGCGAGACCTTCAATATTGCCTCACCTAAACAGCTCGGCGAAATTCTCTTCGACAAAATGGGATTGCCCGGCGGCAAGAAAACAAAAACCGGTGCCTGGTCAACAGATGCAAGCACACTGGATGACCTGGCCGCGAGCGGGCATGACTTGCCGGTAAAAATCTTGGAGTGGCGCGGGCTTGCGAAACTCAAGAGCACCTATACAGACGCCTTACCGGAATTCATTCATCCTGAAACGGGCCGCGTCCATACCTCTTACTCAATGGCGTCCACCAGCACCGGGCGTCTGGCGTCGACTGATCCCAATCTCCAGAACATTCCTGTTCGCACAGAAGATGGGAGGCGGATACGGACCGCCTTTGTGGCCGACAAAGGCAATAAGCTCATCAGTGCTGACTACAGCCAGATTGAGTTGCGGTTGGTGGCGCATATTGCTGATGTGCCGCAACTAAAGCAGGCGTTCGCCGATGGCATCGACATTCACACCATGACAGCATCCGAAATATTCAATGTGCCCGTAGCCGACATGGAGCCCTCCATTCGACGGCGGGCAAAGGCGATCAATTTCGGCATCATCTATGGCATCTCTGCCTTTGGTCTGGCAAACCAGCTCGGCATCGGCCGGGGCGAAGCGGCTGAATACATCGATCTTTATTTCGAACGCTTTCCTGGTATTCGCACTTACATGGATGAGACGAAGGCGCTGGCCCATGAGCAGGGCTATGTGGAAACCATTTTTGGGCGCCGCATTCACCTGCCGGAGATTAATTCAAAGAATGGTGCGCACCGGGCGTTCCTGGAGCGCGCCGCGATTAATGCGCCGATTCAGGGGTCCGCAGCAGACGTGATCCGGCGCGCAATGATCCGCATGCCCGACGCCCTGAAGGCGGCGAAGCTTGATGCGCGTATGCTTTTGCAGGTGCATGACGAACTCATATTCGAAGTTGCCGAGAAAAAAGCCGAGAATACCTGCGCGCTCGTGTCGAATGTGATGATCGGCGCAGCGGTGCCCGCCGTCGACATCTCGGTGCCTCTTGAGGTGGATGCGCGCGCGGCCGACAATTGGGATGAAGCGCACTAGCCCCGAAGGAACATGAAAATGACGGTTGAATCTGAGGACGAGCTTGAGGGTCTTAAGAAGTGCGGGCGCGTGGTGTCAGAGACACTCGCGGCGATGGGTGCCTATATGGAGCCCGGAATGACAACCGCCGAGCTTGATGCTTATGGAAGAGAGCTGCTTGAGCGTGAAGGTGCTCGCTCCGCGCCAGAGCTCACTTATAATTTTCCTGGCGCCACCTGTATCAGCATCAATGAGGTCTGCGCCCATGGCATTCCAGGCGATCAGGTGATCCAGGCTGGTGATCTCGTGAACATAGACGTGTCTGCCGAACAAAATGGGTTTGTCACCGACACGGGAGGCAGCTTTATTGTGCCGCCGGTGCGTGCTGATCACGCAGCACTTTGCAAGGCGACGCGCATCGCCCGGGACAAAGCCATTCGATCGGTGAAGGCTGGATCAAAACTCAACGTGATTGGAAAGACGGTTGAGCAGGTTGCTCGGAAGGGTGGGTATACAATCATCGAAAACCTGGCAAGCCACGGTGTAGGTCGCTCACTTCACGAGGAGCCGGGGACGATCCCCGGCTATTATGACCCGTCCGACAAACGACGGCTTTGGCATGGTGCTGTCATCACCATTGAACCGTTCTTGTCGACCGGCGCAACTGAAGCCGTTGAACTCGACGACGGCTGGTCACTCACCACGCCGCCTGGCGTCTTTGCGGCTCAATATGAGCACACATTGGTCGTCACCAAACGCGGTGCCATTATTGTCACCTGATTGGCTCAGGCGAGTGCATTCATATAGGTGCCTATGTCGAAATAGTCGCGCCAGACTTTGATCTTGCCATCTTCCATTTCGAAGACGCCGAAGCACGGAAGGTCGACGGACTTGTCGCCAAGCTTTGTGCGGTCTAGACGTTCCACCATCACGACATTGTCCTTTGCGATGAGATTGAGAATGTCCCAATTGGTCTCCGTCCAGTCTTTGGCAAAACCTGCAATGAAGGTTTGAACATTGTCGCGTCCGGCGACCGGGTCGGTCGGCATATTGTGATAGATGCCATCATCCGTGAAATAGCTGGCAATCTCTTCTGCATCAAGCCGCGACCAGGCGGCGATGAAGCTTCTGATAATTTCTTCATTGTTTTTCATGAGCACTCTCCCTTTCTTGAAGTGTGCTCATGAAATTGGCGGAAGACCAGAGTCTTTCGGTGTAAGTCAGGCAGCTTGCAGGGTTTCGCCTGGCGCTGCCCCATCAAACAAAGCCTGCATGCGAGATACATAGGCCATGAGCGTGGGTTTCGTTGCGACTGCATCTTTCAAAGGGCTTGGAATGTCAGGCCCTACAATATTGATCAACATGCCAAAAGCAGTGGCATCGGCAACGCTTGGGTCCCCACCAAACAGGAATTCCTGGTCGCCCAATATTTGGGCCAGCGCTTCAATATCAGAGATGCCAAAGGCATAGATTTCGTCCCGGCTGTGACGGCCGAGACCATGATGATAAAGGGCGGCCTCTACTGTCTTGTGCGCCTGCCGTGTGATGAAGCCGCGAATGAGCCAGGGAATGTCCGCAAAGAAGATCTCATCCTCAACCTTCGCATTCGCTGGTTCCATCCAACGGCTATAAACGGTTGCCCAGTAAAGCCGTTCTTCGAGCATCCGCTGCAGTGCGTGAGACTGAGCCTTCTGGAGTGGGCTCAGATGCCGATCAAGATCGATACCGCGGGTTCTCTTGAGATGATCCAGAATGAGGACCGTGTCACCAAGAATCAGCCCATTGTCATCGATAAATGGTAGCTTGCCCTTGGGGCCTTTT